TTGCTGTCCTTGCTACAAGTGACATCACTTTCCAACAAAATGGCTACCTCCTAGCACCAGCTTCAGAAACAGAAACCACTAACTTCAGAAATGAAAGCCATAGTTCAATCATAGTTATGACTGATTTATACTGTGAGATAGATAGGTAGTTTTCTCTTGGATTTCTACATGCAAACACAGCATAGCTCCATAGTGCCCAATAGTATGTAGCCCATAGCTACATACTCACCCAATTCCATGATTTAATTCAGGCAGCGTAGAAGGAAAAAAGACAGAATAGAATCTTTATCATAAAAATGTAAGATTTCTTATGAACTGAAATTTGAATAAGTGCCACATTAGCATTGCTTTAAGTTAATTTTTGCCCTCCCTCACAGACAGACTTTAGATACACTTTGTCCTCCCAGCTGCATGACAAGCCCAGCTGCCAACAGCTTTTGGAGAAGCACTGTCTTATCAGTTAATCAGCAAACCAACAGAAAAGCCATAAATTATAATATTTAAAGCTACCTACTACATCAGCAACATCTAAAATAAACGGGTTTTGCTCCACAGAGTTCTTTACCAAAGTAGGTATCACACATACTACAAGGAAACAACAATGGCAATTGATTTAAGAAAGATTTCACCATTCACAATCTTCTATAAGGAAACAAATCAGGGTTCAAGAGCCTCTTAGATGTTTTGAAAAGGGAAAACAAAGACACTACATTGCATAGGAGTGGGAAAGGTCAGTTGGTCTCACCCCAAAAAGTAGCATCTTAACAGACAAACATCAATATCAACTACTGGACTGCAGCCTTACTTTGCCCATCAGAAATAGTAATAGCTATAGTTCAAGCCATTCTCCACTCACAGGAAGCATTAGAGGTTGAAGCATAGGGCTTTTCTTCACCATTAGAAAGGGATTCCAGAAGTATCAAAAAAAACTCACAGAATCACACAGAATTTCTAGGTTGGAAGAGACCTCAGGATCATCGAGTCCAACCTCTGACCTAACACTAACAGTCCCCACTAAACCATATCCCTAAGCTCTACATCTAAATGTCTTTTAAGAAAAGAATAAAAGAATAACTCACATAATCAGATTGTTCCCATTCTTTTTGAATAGCATAGGAGATTCTGGTACTTTTAATTTTCAAAATGGTCTGAATATCACCCTGCCCTACATTAGGCCAAAGTCAAGCTCTCAGCTTGAATATGGTTAACATTGCTAACATGCTTGTTCAGAGATGTGTTTTTTGTTTTGCTTTCTCTTCCCTTTTATAGAATCTCTTCAGGAGATATTTTTCAAATCAGTTAGATAGAACATTTTGACAGCAGTAAGACTGGATTCTGAAAAAATAGCTAGCGAGAAACTGATCAAAACTATTTCTGGAAAGTTTGCTCTGTCTCTTAACTCAAAGCATTAGCTAGTTCCATCTCAAGACTTCTTACCACTTCTAGTTTCCATTCTCCACTCTAGATTGGGGAGACCATGTTCTTCGAATCATAATTGCATGGACTACTCTAATCTAGTTGGATGAATTTTGTTTTACACAGAGCCTTGGAAGTGCATGTGTCCCCAGAAAGCAGCCAGAATTAATATGAGAATTGCTAGCAGAATTACAGCAGTGCCACTTCTCTGAAATCAAACACAGAATTTATGCAATATTCTGCTGTCACAAACCTGATGATATAGCCACCCTTTCATCACATAAAGGGTAACGGCATCCTAATTAAGAACTCAGGCCTTATGTTCAACAGAAGCAAACTAATGAATTGACTATGAAGATGCCATCAAGTGGAATGTGACTACGATATTTTGCCTCATGTATAACCTAGTGTCAGTAAACAATTTATTTAATGTAAAAGTCATGTGGTATAGGCTGCAGTGGATTTATAGCTACTTGCATTTCAGAATTGTTGTGCCTCAACAGAATAACTACCTCACTGGCTATCATACAAGCCTGCTATACTGCTGCTGGAACCATAAACATATTCTCATTAGTGGCCCATGGCAATTTGTATCAGAGAATAGCTTGTGTCACACCATAGACTGAAGAGCTGCTGCTGTGCAGCCAAATGTTAGCTTTTTTAAACAGATCTGTAACAATCTGGCTACTTTGTCACAACAAAAAACCTTCTCTATGTAGGGACTGATACACAGGTATCCATTTTTATCTATGTTTTACAGAACCAAACAGCCAAATTCCTACCAGTATTCTATGAGTAACTTGATAAATTCCTGAATAAATATTTTGGACATCAATTACTTAAATTACCTACATTTTAATATACCAGTTATTCCTGAAAATAACATTTAATAGCAGCACACAAAAACAAACAAACCAAAAAAAAAACACAACATTGGAAATCTATCTACTTTAAAAGTTGAAGATTGATATATGCAAAATATACTCCAAGCTTCTTTCCACCATTTTCCTGGATTGGGTCCACAATAAGTTGTTTTTTTTGTTTTTTTTTTTTGTTTTGTTTTTTTTTTTAAACAATACCTTATTATTATGCAATAAACACATATGAGAAGCATTTACTCAGTCCAAACAGAATGAATCTTTTGGTAAAGAACTGTGGTGAAGGACAGGCAGCTCTTCCTTGTCAGAAGTGAGAGATTAGTTTAATATACTGCACAAAAGAAAGACAGAAGGGAAGGAGAGATCCCCTCATTAAATGCTCACCATTTGAGCCCTGCTTAATATGTTGACTGATAACTAGTATACGCAGTTGCAACAAGCAGAGGCCATTCCAAACAATGATGCCCATCTGTTATGGTAGCACTTCAGTCTTAGAACTTCCAGCTGCCACTGCTGGTTAGATGTGCCACATTATGCATAGCCTTGCGTACCAAATGAGTACGGTCTGTACTCCCTGATCATGACTTTTGCAGCTTAAGTATCACTCTGCATGTGTGTTAACTGGCTGAAGTCCTAGCAACAGAGTGAGCAAGCATGTGTGTGTATGCAGAGGAAGAAAAAATTGAATAAAACTACTTCAGAAAGTAGGCTAATCTTGCTCTTTTATTTAGAGCAAGCATCTCAATATATGAACGCATCATGCTTTCAACACCGTATACCAACGTAGCATCCAATATAAACACCAATATCCAGAGCATGCCAGATTTGAAGAATATAAGGGCACTTAAGGGAGTTAGAGGATGCTGGTGGAATACATTTCGACTTTGTAACTCGGAGCATTCTGTGTCCTATTCAGGAAAACTGGCCCTGGTCACGACTAGCCTCCACTGAATGGCCTGATTTAAGTCCTTTAGCCACAGCTTAAGTGACTTCCCAGAAGTTATCCACAGAAAAATTAAGCCTACTTCACCACCACAGTAGCATCTTACAGCATAAGCCTCAAGGTTCTAATCAGGAACTTCTAGTACTCTGTCAGCCTGATAAAGACACTTGCCAAAGGGAACAGAGCTGGCTGTGAAAGGAACAAGTGATCTTTCCTCTCTCCCAGGTGATTTGTAAGCATAGACATGGTTGCAAAAAGATCAGTCTAAAACATGACTCTGTGTGCTAAAATGCCTCATGCTTCAGCCTGCAAGACATAGAAGGTACATAAGAAAAGCACCATATACTTGCAGGTCTCTAAATAAGAGAATGTGGAATTCCATCATGTGGAACTAAATGCATATGAAGGCTTTCGTGAGGTACACCCTTGCACTCCCAGGACAGTTGGGAATGTTAACGTAAGGGTTTAGGCCAATAGGGGTCTTGTCTCTCGCCAAGACTCCAAAGTATGCTGCATGAACTGAAGTGTTTTGTGTTCTTCATCAGCCAGGGTTGGTAGCCCTCTTGGCCACTGCAATACAGCACATGGTAGCTGCATGCCTGTGGCATTGTGTCCATAGTATTAATGTACTGCAAAATAACACTAGAGTTAACTGAGAATGCAGGAACATGACCTGAGGCCAAATCAGTTACCTGGTTTTCATATTGCTTTTTTCTATTCATTTCCATTTGGGCAATTTCTTCATCGGGATCCTGTAAGAACTACAAAAAGAAACATACAGCATTAGGAGCAGAAACCATGGGATGAACCAGCACTCACTGCTGCAACACACACCCAGATCCTTCAGGACCACAGCCCCGTGACAGACCACCACTGGAGCACCCCGACCACCACATGGTCACCAGCCACCCAACAAAAGGGCGCAGGAGCCCACGGGCCAAGGCACGCAGCAGGGCAGGAGTTGGCCTGCGAGGGCCAGGGCGAGCCACGCTTCCTGCCCCGGCCTGCACTCACCGTGGCCACATCAGCTTTCCTCTTGCGGGCTCGCATGGCACCCTCGGCACCCCCTTCCCCCTTGGCCGGGGCCTTCTCCTCCGCGAAGTCGCTGCCAAGAAACAAGAAGCTGGAGGAGCCCGGCGGCGGGGAGCCTCCCCCCGGGCTCGCCTAATGGAGACTTCGGCCTAGGCGGCCCCAGCCCCGCGCGGACTCACCTCTCCCGCCGCATGGTGCCCCGCCGGGGCGAGCAGCGGCCCTGCGCGGGGCCGGCGGGGAGCCGCGAGGGCAGGGGCCGGCAGGGAGCCGCCGCGCAGGCCTCCGCCAGCCGGGCCCCAGCCCCCACAAAGGGCCGCGCCAAGGCCCGGCGGCGGGGCGGGAGGCTGCGGCCGGGCACCCCGGGGGGGCGGCCCCGGCTGCTCCTTCCCTGCCCCCGTCCCTCACCCACCCACCCGCGGCGGCCGCCCGGGAGCTCGGCGGAGGCCGCCCGGCGGCGGGGCGCCGGGGCAGGGCGGGAGGAGCGCGGCGCGGGCTCCGCTGGGCGCCTCCTGCCTCACGGCGCGGCCGCTCCCGTCCCTGCGCACAGCGCGGCCGGCGCCGAGCGGGACATTTAAACGCGCGGCTGCGGGGCCGCCTCCCCGCCCGCCCGCACACGTGGCCCCGCGCCCAGGCCCCGCGGGACGGCGCCCGGCCGGGGCGGGGTCTGCGGGGGGCGCCGCTCCGCCGCCGGGGCCCGGGGCTGCGGGGTCGGGCCGGGGCGGAGCGGGGCGGCCGCGGGGGAACCCCCGCCCCGGAGGGCCGGGCCGGGCCGTGCCGGGGCTCCCCGCCCGCCCCGCCGTGTCCTCAGCGGGAGGTCAGAGGGGGCCGGGCGCCGCCATGCCCTGCCCCGCCCGCCCCGCCTCTCGCTCCGTCCCCTCCCCGCCGGGCATGGGGCGGCCGCGGCTCTTCGGGCGCCTGAGGGCGGCGGTTCTCGGCGTGGTGCATGTGGCAGCGCTGCCAGGTAAGCGGCGGGGCCCGGCGGGCGCCCTCCTGCTCTCCCCGCGGGCCGGGGGCTGAAGGAGCCGGGGGCTGAGGCGGCGGCGAGCTCGCGAAGGGGACCGCTGAGGGAAGACGGCAACGGCGGCTCGGGCCGGGCTGCGCGGGGGTGGAGCTCCGCGCGGCTCCGTGCGGCCGCAGCCCGGCCTCCTTCCCCCTCCGCCCCTCGGCGGCTCGGGGCAGCCCGCGGCAGCCGCCCGGCCTCCCGCAGGCCGCTGCCGGGCACTGCCCGGCCCCGCTCTGCCCGGCCTGCGGGCCCTGCGCCCGGCTCACCGCGAGGTGGGACCGGCCCGCGGCGCTGCCACCGAGCTCGGCGCAGCCCGCACCTCGGCGCCTGGCTGTAGGAAGCGAGCGTCAGGAAAGACTGCAGTGAATTTCCCTCGGTATTAGCTCGGAATTCCGGGGAAATCCGTGCATGCTCATCTCTGGCACGAAGTTCTTATGCTGCAGATCAGATAACATCCACCTTGCAGACCAGAATGTTAGATTACTGCAACTGATTTAATATTAATTGGCGATTAGCATAGGTATTCTGCTGACCTAGAGGTCAGGTCTTGCCATAGCATTGGATGGAGAATCACTAACACGAGATAAGCTGTAGTAAGTACAGGATTAACAAGCTAGAAACAGACATGGTACAATAAGATGTTATACAGATACTCTTCAAGTTTGCAAATTAGTTTTAGGAACTAAACAGTTACAGCAGATCTGTCAGGTTCAGCTAAGGAAAGAGATGCCATTAAGGCAGTCACAGAGATACAGCAGCCATTTAACAAGCCTGATGCTTCTCCCTTTTTCAGTGTGCCAGTCCCTACAGATGTCTTACCAGAAAATTGTTACTGTCTGTGGTTTCAGTTTGTACTTGCACTGCACAATGTTACAATGGGTAAACAATGTTGTTCTTGCAGGGACACCAAGAAGTTCTCTTCCTTTGACACAAATCATTGATCAAGCTTGTCAAGAAGCAGAAATTTACAAGGACGCTGGAGTTGTAAGTTTTGGTTTTCTTCTCCCTATGGCAGTATTTACACAAAGCTGCTTCTGCATAGCTAATTCTTTGAACTGAGTCTGAGTGACCTAGAATTCATTAAATACATCTTAAGCCACAGAGTTCAGAAAGACATTTAAACATACATCTTGTATTTCAACATAATGCATAGGCCTTCTAGGTTTCAAAGCCTAAACTATGCATCACATGCACCCAGAATTGAAAAACCTTGGATTCAAACTTTACAATTTAAGTTGCTTAAATAGGATTACTGTCAATTTCTAAGAATTAAGTCAATTAAAAAAAAAAGACACACAGAAAGTTGACTGCAACATGAACTGTTGCTGCCATTCTAGGTATCTGAATGTAGGATGCTTCATCATCCAGTTTGACAAGCCACTTTGTTTAGCTCTGTACAGCATACTCTGGTTTCATGAAGTCATGAAGGAATGGCACATGCACAATCATAGGTACTGAGAATCTCACTTACAGGCGGCAGGGTTCCCCCACAATTAGTTCTTGTACTACAATAGTATAGTTTATTCAGGGGCCAAAATATCATCTTAGACCCCCTTTTGCCTGATTTAATCCTTCCATCCTAGCCCCCTGGGAGCAAGCATGCCTGCTCTGTACATCTTGAAGGGAAGGCCCAAAAGGCCATTATTGACCAGAGGCAAGAGGCAGGTACTATTGCTGAACTGCCGTTGGACCTAGAGTGGCGTAATCATCTCTGTATGTCAGCAGAATTTAACAGGGTGTATGTCCTTTTGAAATGTTGGATGTTTTAAACATTTCATTGCTCCTTGTCTGCACATCTTGATGTGATTTTTAGTTGACCTGCCTACTCTATTATTCACATTTTTGGTGTGCTAAGGTGATGACCTGCTGTCTGGGGTTTGAAAACAGCTTAAATGAACAAGTAGTCATAACTGAGCTGCTGTTTTCTGCAAAACTTTAAACTGGGTTATTCTTTTTAACAGCGTAAATTACAATGATACCTTACAGACAAAGCAAAATTAAATCTAGGAATTTAGTCTAAATTATGGAATACCAAGGTCAAAATGCAAGACAAGTCACATGAAGTAGGTTATGGAATGAGCACTTGTAAGGCTAAATTAGGAAAGAGTGCTGACAATGGAATTGTTGGAAGGATAAACAACAGCATAGAAGAATGAAGTTTATGTAGGCAAGCTTCAGTGCACTACCAGTTAAAATAATCTTTAACTGCAAGTGGTACAGAACAAGTCAGTTTTCTTCCTTTTTATACCTGTAGAAAGAACAAGTGTGCAATTGCTCTGTGTTCTGTACTGTGACATTCTGTCTTGTCTTTGCTTTTGCTGTATCAACATGAGGTATAATGTGATTTGATCTACATCAGACGAATAGAAAGTACTAGTCTGTTTCCCTGTGTTAGAGGATGTGGTTCTGTAACCCAGAAGCCATTGCCCAGATTCCAGTACTTGTTTACTTGTTTCCCTTATGTATACACTAATAATATATTAAAACCTTAGCAACAGAGAGAAAGCCAAGTATATCTAAAGGTAACTGAGTATAGAAGCAGTTAACTTTCACCACAGTTGACTGCACTCAACTCAGAAATAATTTTTAAACCTACCTTTAAGGTAGACAGATGAGGTGAATGCAGTCATTCTCTACATGTTCGAACAAATTCAAGGCATAACTGCGTTTCCTGTAGAAGTTGTAACAACATTAGTATACAGGCCAAACCGATCTTTATTCTAAAGGTCTGTACATAATAGTGTTATAGCAATATGACAAGCAAATCCTTTATTAATACCACAAAGGTCGGAGATAATCAGGAGAGCTTCCATAAATATCACTATGGTTGCCTAACGCTTACTGTAATGCCTTTGTCTAGTTTTTCCCCAATACTTTAAGAGAAATGTACACTTGCATGATAGATACTAAAGAGCTTCATGGCTTTTGCACAGATCCTACTCTTCCAAGTTAGCTCTCCTGATTCTGTAATGGAATTATTTGGTTTCTACCCTCCCCAATATTCAGATTGAACTGTTAAACTGTCCTTTTTTTTTGCAGAAAAAGAACTAGAACCATAAAGGATTTATCCATGGATGTTTTTACTGTTATTTCTAACTGCTTGCCTATGGTAGCCTTTAGAAGATATGTAACCATATTGCTGCCACTAGATGTTTGTATGTTGTCTCAAGTTGCTTGAACTGGAGTTAACATTCAAAAATACTGTGTGGGCTCGCTCACTCACTATCTATTACACTTGGAAGTAACTCCTAGTTTGTTCAGAAAAACGTGATTTGTCTGCCATATTAATAACTGAACATAGTAAATATGAAAGATTTGTGATATTAGGATAACAGTAATGAAAACAAGTGAGTGCTCAGTTAGGAAGCCATCTGTGCTCAAAATGTATATGCTTTGTACTTGTGTTGCTGAACAATGGAATTCGCTAGAAAAGATCTTATAAGAAACAAGCTATGAGATGTTGTGATCTCTCAGATTCTTATCTGCTTTTGTTTAAACAAAAAACACTTGCAAAATATAATGAAGTTAACTTTTATTTATTCAATTCAGCCTGAATGAAGCTTGCTTTATAACAGAGCATGAGTTCATTCTAGTTTCACTGATGAAACACTCCTTACTTGCTATTACCTAGCTGTAACTACATGAGTAGGTGACATTGAAGATAAGATATATAAATAAGGGTATTTCTTGAAGACATAAATATAATGCTGTATTGACTTGCAAGTATTATTATAGTGCTTCTTAATAAGAAAAATTTTAGGTTTGCTTCTTCTACCTATATTGTTCCTGGAGATGTGTTCATTACAATTCTGAACCTCCCAATCCTTCTCTTGTTTCTGGAGCTGCAAGGGTGGTTGCCAGTACCTGCTCTGCATTAAGGTTCTCAAAAGTGAGAAGCCTACTATCCTTATAGTTACAGTAATGGTTACAATTATTTAGGATTCGATAACAGTTGAGACAGAGCAAGTTATCATTCCTGCTATAGAAACATATAGATAGCTAAAATTGGGATTGTAGAGATTAATATTTTAAATCATAGCTCTGTTACAGTAGAATAAAACAGGGAAGTCTCCCCACTGCCATCTCCTATAATATATACAGGAAAACATAAGGTGCCTACTTACCTGAGTTAAGGTAGCAATCTCTTGTTCTGGAGGTAGAGTTTTTTAAAGAAATTGTCTAGGTACAGCAAATAAATGCTTTACAAGGCTGTCTGATTTCCTTTGTCTACAGGCACGTGACTGTGGTGGTGGGAGAAGCTGTAATTGTTTCAGTGCACACCTGACTATTTAACAACGGGAGTCACACAAAAAGCCTCTCTTCAGTAGGCAGGAACAGTTGTTTTCAGCTTGCAAAGGTTTTGATAACACGTAAATGTTTGTAGGTAAAGTTTTTCTGCAAGGAAAACATGGAGGTTAAAATTACTACAGCTAAAATTTACATTACAGAGGGAGTGAGATAAAGCTTGTGTGGTTGTTATACCTATTATGATTTATACTGTTGTAGCTATTTTTTGAGGTTTTTCTGAGGTTGCATATGTGTGTGCACAACAAGTGTTTTAAGAGGTTGCTTCTATAAATAGAGTAAAGCCAAGGAAATTGTTTTCCTATGTAGTCAGAGAGGTATTTAAGTGACCTATTTTCCAGCAGCTAACTGATACAAGAGGCACTTTCTGTATATGTAGCACTCTATTTCCTTCTTACTTTCCTTCTTACTTTGAGCGACTTCTCTAGTGTTCAAGAATTGTTGAGAATAAGACTACTTTACGTATAAGCAATACTTAAATTGTCCTAATATTCAATGGAAAAGAAGCCCACAAGGTTTTTGCTAGTCTTATCTCATACTATTCAAGGGAAATCTGCTTTGGAGTGTGCAATACAATATCTGTTCTGACAGACTTCTACACCATAAGCTTAAATTCCAAGAACTTTAATGCAGCATAACTGTTTTCTTTCCACCATTTTAATTAGCTGTCTGATAGTACTGAAGTCTGTTTTATATATGTATAAATTCAGTAAACACAGAAATCTGTGCTGTTATATTTTTATATAAAAATATGGAAGAAAGCTTTGCGTTAATGCATCTGTAATTCTGCTCTCTGTATTGCAGAACATATGTTGTTCTTTTTTTAATTAAACAAAACATAATATGCAAAAGAACATAGCCTATTGGATGGCACCAAAAGAATAATGCATTATTAAACTAATACCAAAAATATTCACAGTAACTATGGGCCTTGAGGCTATGGGAAGAGATAACTGTTGAAAAGCGAATATACTAAGTATAAGGTAGAAAAGAAAAATGCTGAAATCCTCCTGTCTGCCTGCATTCTGAACTAGTATTCAATCAGATACTTGTTTTATGCGCAGTATTATGGCTAGAGTTCCTAATTACTTTAAAAATAAATTTATTAATATATCTAATAGAATACTTTGCTTTATGCAAATCCTGAGTTGTTAAAATAGAAACAATTCATAGAAAGCTCGGTTTCACTGTGATGCTGCTGTGGAGTTCTGCTAGTCTGTTCTGCTTTTTCAGCTCCTAGCTGAGCGTCTAAAGCTTCTTTCCTAGGCCTCTTTTTTTTCGTACTGATGTTGGTTCTTGACTGCCCAAAACTTTTAGTTTGTAGATCCTAGCTTCTTGCCTTTGATCAGCTTGGAGTTCCTAGGTTTTGGTGAAGTCTGCCAAGTTCAGCCTCCTTGAGCCAAGGATCTCATCTTCCAGGTTGTGTGGCCTCAAAGAATTACCTGGTTTTGAGGGTTCATTGTATTCTTTGGGTTTATTTTGTTTTGTTAAAATATTGGAGTCCTGCCATATATCACTACTGACCAACTTCATTTTCTCTCGTAAGCAGTTAACCTCTCTCATGATCTTGTATAATTTATGTATAAAGAGGGAAAAAGGCTAAGAGGGTTCTCTTTCTGTTAGTTCATTAAAACGGATTCAGTAGCTGGGACTGAGGTATGAGAAGACAATTTGGTCACTTCAAATTTGTGTAAGAGTGCTGACCTCGTTCCAGAGAAACCAACTAAAAGTTGTTTGTTGTTGTTTTGTTTGTTTGTTTGTTTTTCCTGAAAATGCTGTGGGTTTTCTGAGGACTGGTTGTCATCTTTGTCATCTGTCTTGCTTCTGATCACAGGTAGAGACATGTGGATGTTAAATCAGACAGCTGAACAGGATGTAGAAATAAGACCAGGCACAGATGTGTTAGTTGGATCTGGTTTTCCTTCACCTGGTTGAGGTTTCTTGGATCAGAATTCTATAATAGAATATGCTGATGAATGGCATGAAATAGTATGTAGCTCTATTGTTATGTGCTCATAATATTAGATAGTGTTTTTCATTAGTAAACTGTGCCCTTTTATTTTTAAGGTAACGTGTGTTTTGTATATTTAAGTACTTAGCTGTGAGGTTATCTGGTGAGGGCAGTTGTACCCAGGTGCATTGAATGGGTGTGTGCATTGTGTAGTTGGATTTACCATATTGTTCTCATGGGCTACTTGCATTCTGTTTTTTTCCCCATCCTCCATGTTAGGTGTTCATTTATGATGCCTGTGGCTTAGACTGTAATTCAGCCATTAAATGCTTACTGTGTTTTATATACTGTCTTATCTTTTACTGCCAAAAGGGCTTCTAAACTACAACAGAGATTGAAGAAGCGTTATGTATGTGATTTTTTTTTTTAAAGGAAACCTTTTTTTTTTTTTCATCCTTTTTCCTGATTCTCTGTTATTATCATGTGACTTTCTTTATTTCATCTCTGGTTGTATTTTTTTTTTTTAATTTATTCTAAAATGGTCTTCTTTCTATTCTGTCTCAGTCAGAATTTCTTTGAAGTGCAGAGCCCCCATTTTAAGGATTGTGACATGTGGTAAAACTCCAGAGAGAATAGAATTGTTTTTCTATATGTACAATCTATTTGTCTTATAAAATTTTTGTATTTTTAGATAGAAACGTGAGAAATTTCTGGCTTCATTTAAAATTCTCACTGCAAATGCAAAACAACAGGCTTCAAATACGTTTCAAGGCTATACTTTTACTGTTGTTATTAGTCCTTGACAAAATTATATGATTTGATGTTGTTGAAAATGTTCTATTATATACCATATGATTGAAAATGTACAAGGTACTAGATGATGTATAAAGATTTTCAATAAATTGCATAAATTATTTCAGTAGAGTATTTTATTGTCACTCCATTGTTTGCTAAATGTATGTTCATATGGAGTGAGAAGTACAGTAGATAATAAATAGCAGTATCTTCCTTCAAATAAGCCTGAATCTGGAATGGGAGAAATACATGTATCAATAGTTAATACTATGGTATTAGGCACACTGGAAATAAGCATTTAATAGTGAAACAAACAAACAAAAACCTTTATTTTTCTAAAATAACACATTTTCTGACATTAATTGAATTGAAAATTGCCTTGATTATCTCTAAATCCTCCGTTATCTAAACATACTCAATATCCTATATTCCATTTGGATAATTGAAGTTTCTCTACACTACTTTTAATGAGGTATAAGATTTAACTCATTCGCCTATAGTTCACATTCTAGGATGGATCAAAAGAAGACTAATTGATGAATGTACAATTAAAATCGCATTTATTTCTCTTCCTGATTTCTTTGCAAATACCGTGCTGTTGATTAAAGCACTTTTACAAGTGGTTATATGCATCAACATAATTTACTGAAGATAATCCACCCTTTGAAGGAAAACCTTTAAACTTGTCTTTTAATACAAAACTTAGAATAATAGTAAACTAGCCACGTTTCTTAAATTCCTCTTTCAGCTTAATCAGTTTTCCGTATTATGATCTCCACAGGATGGCTTGATAGTAGAAAACATGCACGATCGTCCTTACACGGTGTGTCCTGGGCCCGAAGTGACGGCAGTGATGACGGCCATCAGTGCCGCCGTGAGGCGATCCTGCCCGCACCTTGCGCTGGGAGTCCAGGTACTGAGCGCTGCGAATCAACAGGCAATAGCAGTTGCTCTCGCTGCAGGTAATAGAAATGACTCGCGTGTTATTACTGTTGTTTGCTATGGCATTTACTCTCTGCAAATTGTGCATTGTACTAACATAGATACCATGAAAAATGAGACATGAAAAGCTCACTGTACCCTGAAAAAGCAGAAATTAGATTTTGAGAAAGATGCCTGCTTGATTATAATAGATGATGCTCACACAGTGCTTCAGTAGGAGGCAGCTTAGAAATCCCAAGGCCATTGGTGCTGCTTTTTGGATGAAACCTGTCTAAACGTAATGATTAGTTTAAACCTACTGATGTCTAAAAGCCACCTTTGGTGTAACTCTATTTACTTCAGTTAAATTATATTTGAAGATTAATTTAACCCACTGTGGTTAAGCATCCTGTTTCAGCATCTAATTATATGTTGTTGCTACTACAGTTATCTATTAAAACTAAATTTTCACTGCCTTTGTTCATGAATGAATCTTTTTGTATAAAAACAAAAAATAGAGTGTACAGGTACCCAAACTACTTAAAATTAAATTGCATTCAGGGAAATTAAATGTAAATTAATCTACCCTTATTGCAAGAATCCTTGACTTGCTGACCTTTCTCTTCTACTCCTTGCTGAAGCAATTTTAGGTTTTCATATAGAATGTTCCCTGATTCAAAGATGGAGACTGGTTTCATATGGAAAGCTTGTACTTCCCAAATCGAGGGTTGATGCCTCTGTTTACCCAAATTGCATATGTAATTATAGTGAGGTTGCACATTTTGTAAATTGTACAAATATTGTAAACAGGCAGAGTTTTGTCAGAACATAAAACTAAAAGATGCTTGTACTAATTGAAACCCATACTTTGGTTAAAATAATATGGAGTAACATCTGCAGTGGCAGTTTTAATTATGTTGAATATGTTCTAAAAATCTTGAATCCCTTTTTCTTGGGGGAATTTGTTAGTCTGTGTTTGGAACACAGATTTGATTTGAGTGCTTTAGAATCAGAAGTTGACACTTATAAGGTATGTAACTCCTTGTCAAACTGACCAAACACAGGTTTTATTTTTGCAGTGGAACCTATGTGAAAAGCTAAACCAAAAACCTAACAGAATCCAGTTTTAATTTTCAGGGATTGTATGCATATAGGATACTTGATACATTTGCAAAAATATTTATATACCTTATTTTCAAAAGTAATAGACTGCTAGTGGGTTATACTTCCTTTTAGGAGCAAAATTGATCACTGTATAGGGGATGTAGTGTGGGAACAATGTGTTTCTCTTACTTCTCAGCAATTACTAATGTGGGAGAGAATTCCTGAAGGGCTTGGGTTTTGCTCATCTCTACTACTGTTCTGCACTATTTGCTCTGTAACTGGAGAACAGCAGCTAAGAAAGGCCTGTGTTCTGTGTTTAATGCATTTCATTGCACTTCTCTAAAAATGATTCTCAAGCTCACTGAACAGGAAAGCAAAAAGAAAGAAAATCACTTTAGACAAAGCCATAGTAAAATGACTTATTTTGTAGATAGCAAGTCTCATAGTAGTGACTTTAATATCAATACAACTTTAATAGTCATTAAAGGTGGCTACTAATATAGCAAGTCCAACATGCGTTCACTACAAAATGCTTACTGAAGTTGTTATACCCAAAAAGCGTATGTAGCATCTCCTGCTACTATGTAGACATTTCATTTTCCCTGTAGATACTTCTGTCTCTGGCAGAAATAACTTCTGAAGAGCTGCACAGGGCAACCATAAGTGGTTTAGTGGTTTTTAGGCATAGGTAATTTTATTTTGTAAAGGGCGGGGGGGGAGGAAATCAGCAAGTTTATGGTGTGACTGGAAGGAACTCATCAATAACATGTGGTTATGCTGATAAATATGTTGTAGATAGCCGAATAGCAACAAATTAAATCACTGAATTTTCCTAGCATAGAATCATTTAGGTTGGAGAAGACCTTTAAGATCAAGTCCAAATGGGAAACGAGCAAAGACCTCTGTCCCAAAGCAGTCCAACTATACAATAAGATTCTCGACAGCTGATGAATAAGAAGTTTTATATAAGTGTGTGTACGTTTGTGTATTTTAACCTTTGTTCATTTTTCCCTAGCTTCCTTAATTTTTACATTGTAATACAGCAGTTCTCTTAAGGAGGGCAATTTGGAAACTACCTGAATTAATCATAAGTTGTCAAAAACTCCTAAGTTGTTTGATTCAAATATTAATAATGTTTTTGAACATCCTTTCTTTCTCAGTGAAATAAAGAACGGCAACAAATCTAGAAAGCCCTGCTGTAAACAAATTCCTCAGGTATTCTCATCATTAGGCAGTAAAACGGACAGGACAGCATATTGCAGTGGGTTACTGTTGTTTTCAGATTTATTCAATAATAAATTCAGGGGGTGAAGAATCTGAGAAGGCTGAGATGTTTTATTTTTTGTTTGTTTGATTGTTTTGTTTTTCTTGTTAGTTTGTTTTAATTTATTTTAGTTCTTTGGGAAATGTTTGTGAAATTAGGAACCTAAAGGAAAGAAAACACCAAAACCATGTTTGTGCTGGGAGCTTCAGCACAGATATGGGGCAGTGGCAGGGAAGTAGCAAGGGGCCTTGCAGAAAAAACGAACAACTTTGCCTGTGCTCTTCTGACAGAAATAACTTTCAACACAAACAGTTCTTCGGGTTACCAAAAAGCATCCAGTGAGCCCAAACAGTTGTAGCCAACCTCCTCCCTGCCCTGGAAGGCTCAGCAAGCTTTTGCCTCGATGCCAAATGTGTGCTGCACAGAGGCTGGGGCCAGCATCTGGCAGGCCACGGCCTCCTCCTGGCACAGGCCTGGTGCCCAGCTCTGTCTCCATCCATGGCCACAGGCCCGCGGGCCTGCTCACTGTGACAGAGCATGTGTGGGGATCTTCTGCTTTCACTTTTGTTTTAAAGACTCTGAAAGTTGCATGATTTATCTTTGTTTCTAAGGGCTGATATGACAATGTTAGTATGTTAAAAATTAGTATAATTATAAAGTGTGTCAGTCACATCATACTTAGATCATGAAGTCCTCTGCTGCTCAATATTATACTCTTCTGATGTAGGCTTTTTAATTTAAAATACAGTAATATACCTAGGTAACTGTAGACCACAAAATATTGAGATAATACAGAATAGTACAGTTTTATATTTTTTGACTGGAAGCCACCTCAATCTCAAATATTTATTCTTAGGAAAACAAACCTTCTTAAAAGGTGTTTCTAATGACATCTTCCAAACACTGTATTATCACCTTTCTTTCCTGTTTCATGGAACTAAACTGTTCTTTGTGGAGAAGCATGGCAGAAATTGTTTGCTAGGGATACTTTTCAGTTGGTTCATTATTAACAAGTGTACCGTGTGATTTTTAGAGCTGTACAGTTTCCTGTTTATAGTTCCTGATTTAATTAGCTACATCTGCTTAAGGTTGAAACAGAATGATATATCTATGCAGGTCCTTCACGCATTTGTAGAGGATACAAAAATTCTCCATTACTTATTTTTTGTTTAGCAAATGTTACTGTTTATTATTTTTCAGTGCTCAGGAATGTTCACTAAATCTGGGTCAGATTTGGGCATCATGTTAGGTTTTCCTTATTTATTTGCATACCTTGTTTCCTGAAGTTAACCACCGTTTATGCTTGGTCTGTCTACTAAATTTCATGTAGTCATGCTGTTTGTTATTAACCGACTTTGAAATTACATGGCGTTTCTTTTATTGAAAGTTTGCTAATTAGGAAGCAGTAGTCATCTTAGAGAGGACAGTCACATTTAAAGGAATCACCCAAAATCCCTCAGCTGTTTTCTGCCTTTTTCCTTGCATTAATGAGATAGTGTTTGGCTCTGATCTATCAGTGTATGTCTTTGCAGAGGAGATGCAGAGCCCTTGCAATACAGGGGATATATGATGATGACAGTCTCTTTATCCTTTTGAACATTCTGGGTGTTCTCCGTAGTAACATGCAGCAGTGATTGAAAGAAAGAACTGGCCAATCATTAATCTAATGGAGACAGACTTAATGGTGAAAAGGTTTTCAAGAAATCATTGCTTTGTGGAATATTGTCCTAGACATCTGCTGATCTTTGAGACATAAACAATCCCCATATCTGTATCTCAACAGTGATGCAAGGAAATGGTTTCCATATTCTAGGCACCTGAGAAAAACCTGAGCACATGGGCCAGAGGCAAGTTGCATTTTTGTGGTCTGCCAGAGCTTCAATCTGTTTGCCTGGGAGCAAGGACAGCAGGGTCTACTGTAGAGTGCAGCTTGCCTATAGCTGGGTGAGTCTGTGTTATTCTTCATGAATCATTACTCAGTTTATCTTCTACCATCTCCAGCTGACTGTGAAAATGCCCTTTTTTCTTTAAGGACCATATTTTAGAAATCCCATGCGGTCACAGTTTCTTAATTAGTCTTCAGTAATGATAACAGCACAGTTGGTAGCTGATTAAGTGAGGCTTCGTATCAGAAGATATCCTAGGTACCCAGCTATCTCCAGGTCTTTTGCAAATACAGCTTTCCTGTCTGAGACTGTTCCTTTCCCACAGCCACCCACCAGCAGAGAGATACTCCACAGGAATTCTCTGCTTGCTACATCCAATGATACTGTTTAAGGTGGGATAGAATTAGGTTAAAATGTATGTGAAAATGTTTGCTGATTTATTATTATTATATTTTAACTGACACCATCCTAATGTTTGGGGATGTGCGTGCATGTTTGGAAGCATCTGCAGGTGCCGTGGAGCAAGGCAGCAAGTGCAGTGACTCTCACAGAGATGAGATGCTGCTGCAAGCACTGCTGGAGAAGCTGCTTCTCCCAGGCTTGGAATTCTTGCAGAGTCTGCAAGGAGCTGCTGCGAGACGATGTCCTGAGTAGAAATGGTTTTCCATAGCACAAAAACTGTATGGCTCTAGCATCAATAGCAAGTGAGGTTGATAATCCTCTGAGTTTTTATTTTCAGAACAAAAAATTATTTTTTCATCTTCTTTTTGAATTAAGGCATCAAGAAGAGCTGGGAGTCAGGATTTGCTGTGCATGTAAGCCAAGATTCTACCAGTAAATTCACCTGCATCATCTTACATTTGTGTGAAGTTCAAATTTCAGCAGCAACCTGGAACTGCAGCCTTGCAAAGGCCAGATCCTATTCCATGAAAGCAGTAAATCCTGGCTTCCAGCTTCTTTTGACTTCATAATTCAGGAAAGAAAAACATATTTGAGAAAGGGCTTCTTAATGATTGTATCTGATTCCCTGTTCTGTGGTGTTAAAATGCACATTTGCATCATTTTAAGATGGATAATGTAAAAGTACTATTTCCTTAATCAACTTAGTGTTGCAATACTTTTTGACCCAGCAAAGGAAATATTTGTCTGTGGTTTTCTTTTTCCTTTTATTCACTAGTTATCACAGGAAGAAAAGAAAAATAAAGCTTTCCTGTATGATTGATAAACTTTCACAGCTGCTTAGGCAGAGCTGTTTAAGTTGAATTAAAGTGTAGGAACACTAGCTTTTGAAAAAGATACAAGATCTATATCCTTAAACAGGCCCTGCTCCAGATGGTAACATGATTACATGTTCTTAACACAGACCTGAAGCTCTGTTTGCTAGGTTTTCTTGGAAACTTCCTGTTCTTGTTTTCCAGTGAGATTACAAGATTTTTTTTTTGTTCCCATATAAGTCAGAAAAGGGACTACCTATTAACTATTAAACATCTATTACTTTTCAACTTGGGAAATGTGAAAATAAGAAATAGTAATGTTCTCACAATTTTATGAGCATAAAAATGAATTCATTATCAGAGTCCAATTATGGTTTCATAAAAACAGAAGAGTAACGATTTGGTGCCTTTGCCTATTATAACTAGTTAAAATTTGTATCTTCGTAGCTCCCCAAAACCCGAAGAGAGTATACAGCTCTGTTAAACTAAGGACAACGTTTAGCAGAAAGTCTCAAATTCCTAAGTTAAAGGACCACAAACCAACATCAATAAACATGTAAGCAGTGAGCTTCAGTAAATGAATAACCCTCATCCTGAGGTATCCGTTATGATTGCTGTGAAAATTTATCATATTTCTAGTCTGATTGATAGTCTTGTGATTAGAGGATAATTATTTTTAGTTATTTAATTCTGAATTATACTGTAAATCTGGATGATTTACATGAAAATATGTGGGTTTTGTTCCTAGATGCAGAAATCTCAGTCTATTTGCACTGTCTTTCCTACTAGCACCTTTAATTATACTTGTGACATATTTGTGTCTTTGGATCCTGAGAATACTCCATGCTTTTCACCTGCTAATTTCAAGGCATAGGACAGCTCATATTTGATTTGGCACCATCTGTGATGTTTCTTGTTAGCTGGAGTCTGTGTTGCTAAGCAATAGAGACTCTCCTCTATCAGGCATAAGCTTCTGTTTCTGCAACTTCATGGCTTTTGGAATGAAACTGAAATTTAGCTTTTAAAATAAGCAGGCACCTTGTCATTTGGTAAATGTTTTAAAGAGCCTTTCTGTTTATATTTGAAATGTGTTAGGGTGAGGCCTCTGTTGCCTGAGCAGTTCTTGGGTAGGTGGGGTTGCGTCCCTGATGGCTGCTTTCACATGCATTTGTTTCCTTGGTATGTCAGCTCTAATTAAATGTGCAGCTGACTCAAAGCTGGAGGAGCAGCAGAACTTCAGAAGGGCCTGGAAGAGAGCTCTGAAGCAACCTGGAAGAAGGAGCAAAGGTTGCACAAGATGAGTGCTGAGCTTTTACGCATCTTAAAGGACAGGTGAAATAAGTTTCAAGGCTACAAAAGATTGGAGAGAAGAGAGGTCCACAATAAAGGAGTCAGAATTCTGTCATCTTGTGCCTAATCGTTGTGGGTTTGTTAAGCCGTGGCCTAAGGCATCGATATTTAAATATAAAGATATTCAAACGCTGTGTAGGGGGAACCCAGGAGTAAATGAATGGTCTGTGGAAGTTGTTTCCATTCTTAGTCTTCCTCCTAAGTACCCATCCCACAAAACCTTCGTAATTCAATGAAAGAATGAACATGGTGAACACTGGGTACTGAGGTAAGGTACAGTTGATGCTTGCTGTAAATTTGGAGTGGAGTAGAAACCTTATCTTTCTGTACCTTTGGCCTAGCTCTAGAAGTAATTTCTTGATGTTGTGCTGCGTAGAAAACAAGTTGCATTTAGATGAAGAGTCAAATAATGTGTGTAAAGTGTTGCAGGCTGCGTTTTCTTTCTGAAAGAAAAGAAGACCTGTGCTGTTCTCTCTTTGTCCATGTCCTTGTCACTTTTGACCTGTTGGCCAATTTCAGGCATGTATAACAGAGAAATAGATGTTGGGAAAGAAGTAATACAATCATAGAGTATCTGGAAAAAGGTGAAACCTAAGTTAATGCCCTTTTTTGGAGGGAAGCCACATCATTAGGACAACGGAGCTATGCTTTGGCCTACCCACTCCTTCGTTGGCTCTAGCCTGCTGGCACATCATGGCAGAGTGGCAGGGCAGGGTGTGCAGTTCCTGAATCTGTTCCATGGCTGCAAGGACTTAAATATGTGGGAAAGCAAGGGTGGTGAGTCTTAGAGCACACGGAATATTTTGTGTCGAGACCAGATAAGAGAGGGGTAGTAGGGTGGACTTCACTTTTAGTTTTGTTTTTCAGTCTTTGGTTCTGGTTAAGACAATTTTTTTTTTCTTCTTTTTTTTTTCCCTCCAGGTCTTGATTTTATCCGAGCTGAAGGGTTTGTGTTTTCTCATGTTGCTGATGAAGGGATCATAAATGCCTGTGCAGGTAACCTGCTACGATACAGAAAACAAGTTGGAGCAGAGAATATTCAGATTTTTGCTGATATTAAAAAGAAGCACAGGTAAATATAAGCAATATTTATGTAAGTATTAATGTAATAATGTTCTTATGTTTTTCTCATTTTTTTCTGATTATTTTATGTCTATTTAACATCAACAAAGTTAATGATAAAGGGAGAGCTTTATTGTTCAAGCAAGGTCTTGCAGCACTATTAGGGGATATGTTCAAAAATAAATTTGCACCTGTAAGCTGCAGGTTGCTGCATCTGTGAAGTTTTCAGCTTAACCTTCAGGATATATAAATGCATACTGTAAATGTCTTGCATCTGGTATCAGGTGAGATTTTATATCCTTATATACCTATTATGTTTAAAGAAATTGTTTCAGGAGGCTAAGCATCCAAGGTTATTTTTAGTTATGTAAGCAGTTTCCACATACAAAGGATCCAGATCATAATATTCTGGCATTTTAGAAAGCTCTTCTCTTTTTTTCTCCTTGCTGCCAATAATACTGGTTTCTTCTACTTAAATTCAGTGCTGTCTATGTACGGATTATGTTCTGTGATTATCAAACAGAAGGAACTTATGACAGATGAACCCAGTTTTTCAGTTGATATTTTATCGTAACTGTCACACAGTACTTTTAGCTATTCATATGTCACTTTTTTCCAGAAGAACTGCTCAAATGTTATGTATTATACATGTTAAATAACCTAATTAAAGTGTTTGTGTGTAGTACATGGGTAATCATGAAAATAACCATGTTTGGAAGATTCTAAATACCTGTTTGGTTTTTATTTTTTGTTTTGTTTTAAAATAGATTTCAAAATAGAAAATAAAACTATGCCTTATGGCCAAATAACCTTTTATGGTCCTTTTGCTTTTGTTTCTTTCTAATGATATATAAAGTTATATATTAAAAAGACATTTTTTTAGACTTACAGAAATTGATGAATGTATCATATGCTTCTCTTCATTTGTCTTATCAATTGATAGGTTAATATTTAGATTATAGTTTGGTGAAATGATTTGTTTTTTAAGAGAGGGAAAGAGTTGTTTTTTTTCAGGGGAATTCTTAAGTTCAGAAGGAGATGCTGAGAGCCATCTTATTACTACCTTATTATATGTATTTGAGATTTATGCCCACCTTTCTCCACATACAGAAAGAGATTTAGTATACTTTCTCTTGCACCCATCACCACTAGTAGAAAGCACTGCACAGTAAGCATGTCCTACCACTAATACGGAACAAAACCGGGCCCCCCATGTCTATTGTCCATCAGGCTAATCCAAGGAAGAGGTTGATTCTGCGCCTCATTGGTGCAAAGGATTGGCCATGGCCATTATTGTTTCTATACTTACAGCTAATTAGGATGTAAAGTCAGCTGTTGAAACAGCAAAGACTGGAATTCTTTCAAGTTTCAGGTCTGTTTAAATTAAAAACTGCTATCGCTATAGGTTTCAAAGTGCATCACCCATGTATCAAAGCCTGCTGTTGAAAAGCTACTCTGCAGGTAATTGATGTTTGTAATTGCTATGTAAAATGATTCCTGTGATTATATTATAGGTAATAACTATACTTTCTGTTAGTTGGACTTCATGAGATGAAGTGGAGGGTGTTATTGCAGTTCTAGGTAGCAGAATCTGGTTTATGAATGACTGAACATCCACAACTCCCACTTGAAGTCAGAGCTTCTTGTGCTCAACATTTCTGGGATACAGGTGCTTGACATGCAAGCAGCTGCCTCGGTTGACACTTGGTAGTTCACACTTCTTAGAGACAAAGGACCCAGAGCAATAGAGCGATCAATGATGGTGCTGTGATGGAGGAGGTTGGGTCTTCTTCCTCTTGTTTGTATAGCAATTTTTCTTTCCGTTTTAAAATAGGCCACTTACCCTCTCTTTCAAAAAGCCTGAGTTTGATTGTTCTGACAGTGGGGAAGATGAAGAAATGCAGTCTAAACATTGAACAAGATGGATAACAAATGTGTGTGCCGAAAGTAACCACAGGGTACGTTCCTGCTGTTTACAGTGCTCATGCTCTGACGGCAGATGTCGGTGTGGCTGAGACCGCGGCAGCTGCCGAGCTCTTCCTGGCTGATGGGCTCGTATTGACTGGCAAGGCTACTGGGCTGCCCACAGATCCTGGGGAGCTGAAAGGTGAGAGCTGTCACACGAAGGTCGGACAACAGGCAATGAATCAGCTTCTGGGTTAATGTAGAAAGAAATCTATATGTCTGCTGTTCTTTAAGGAAGAAGGGGAAAAAAAAGGAAGAAAATTTTCACTGCAGACTTTGATATGGTACAGCAAAGCTGATGTGATTGAGGTTCTATTTGGATTCTCTGTGTTATGTTTCTAAACAACCATTTGACAGGACAAAAGTAAAAATTATTTCAAGCTTTTATAATACTGAATGATGCTGAGGCTTACTTTTTTTTTTTTTTTAGAAAAAGAGTATGTAAAACGTAAGTTGTAAGAATTAACCCCCCTTAGAAAAAAAAAAAAAAAGTTACCTCATAGCCTTATTAAAAAATAACCTAATAAAAGTGTTTAACTCTTCAGTGGAAAGATTTAAATATTTCACAATCTAAAATAAAGTCCTGCAAGAAAAGAGTTGTTTTGATATGGCACAATTCCAAACAGTAATACCAGGGAAAATACTGCTTAGGAGGTTTTCAGAAAAAAATGTATGTCTGTTGTAAAATAGAAAGATGTGTCATCAAAATATGTATTTTTTTTAACGGTCTGGACTTTTTATTAAGGGAAAATTGTTTGGCCTATTAGTCTTGTCCTTTGTGTTAATGTATTTCTTCCTGGTGTAAGTTTGGGCTTTCTTCATGCATCTGCCCTTGTACAATTGCTGTTTCAAGTTGGAGTGATACCTATAAGGACAAATATTCAAAATAATTACTGCATGTTTGGTCAAATAACAATACTTTTTAGCAAAAATAATGTTTTTGAATGAAGGAAGATACTAATATATTCTCTGCTTTTTTAAGCATGTTCTGATCTAGACCTTTCTGTCATTATTCCATCTTTGTTATACAAAAGGAGGAGGTGAATAACATGATCTTTTTGGCATAGAGACATAGGTCCCAACATCTTCTGGAACAAAATGAAATATTTTAGTGATTTCAGGGCTTTGCCCATATTGTACATCTTTATCAGCATTTAAAATGAATGTTGAACTTGTCAAAATGTTTTTTCAATTTCACATATGTTAAAAAAAAATAAAAATGTTTTTGCCAAAGAACAGATGATAAATGACTCCACTTCAATCACCAATGTTAAAAAAAAATGATTGCTTGGAGTGAATACTGAGCTCTTAAATTAGTTGGTTGCTCAGTACAGTAAACTGGAAATGATATGTGGGAACAGATCACCCTGAAAGCAAGGGGCATATTTTGGAGACTGCAAAATTTCCTTAATCTAGAGCTCCATTTCCTGTCTGCAATTCATATCCCCATGTATCCCCCTCTCTCTTAGTGCAGATTAAATTAAGAAAAAAAGAAAAGAAAAAAAAATTGACGAGTCTTAGGGCAAATCCTAGTTTAAATTCTTTTTTCCAACATTCGCATGCAACCTCCATTGATTTCCTGCATTCCATGAAAAGTACGGGGGCTTAAAACAGTTGAGAAGAGCATAGAAATCAGTACTTCAGGGTGTAAGGAAATGACAAATTAGGCATATTTATGTCAGTAGATTCTTAAAAGGAATCAGATGTACGGTATACAAAGTTGGTTGTTGATATGAGTGAAATTTTTGCATTTGACGAATTTATGCAGCACTGAAAGTGCTGTACAGTAGTGATACAATTGGGCATCTTTCATCACTCTGCAAAGCATCTCTTGAAAGAAGAACCAAGAGACAGATGAGGTTTTGTCATTTTTTTTCAGCTTTGTTGTGTAGTAATATAGAAGTGTTTTTGCCTTTGTGTCTGTGTGTTGAATTGACTGATTTGTGATGGGGTGTGGGAAGTGAGTGTTTCCCTGTCAAGACAGAAGTGTGTTCAGTGGGGTTTTGTTTGTAGTTGGTGTCACTGCCTTCCTGAAGGAACCTGCAGCATTTCTCCTCTCAGCCCTGGGTGGGCTGTGTGCTGGCAGCGAGCAGGGCTCCCTGAGCCTACCAGGAACCAATAGCCAAGGGAAGGAGCAGGAATTATAGCTGAGCATTTTGAATTACAATTTAATCCTTAAAGCATTTTTATTTAAGAGGTTATATAAGTCTGTTCCAGTTTATGTTGTAAAATGCTCTTTGGTTAGAGGATGTGAATCTATCAGGCTTTCTCATTGGGATAAATGCTGAAGAACCTGGTTCAAATCCAGCCTGTATTTTAAGTGACCAAAGCCTGTGTGTAAGGACTGCTTAGTTATCTGTATGAACAAACTAAATGGCCTAAACTGAGTGACTGGTGGAAAACTGGGCACATCACAAAGCCCAGCAGCTGGCTCTGGCTGTCCCCTCATGTTTTAGTGTTCATAGAAGGGGTGTCAAGACTGATTCACCCTCCTATCTTTGGATGGCCTGTTTAGGTCAAAATAAGAGGCTGTTGCCTTTGTAGTTGCCTCCTATAAATAAATGGGAGATGCAAGTCTCTGATCTGTACTTTTCTATAAGCCCTAGATTTAATGACAGAGGAAAAAGTCCTTTGAATTAAAAAGCTAAAACGGGTTACAGTGGAATATTACCATAAACATAGCATTGTGTATGGTACAGTGATTACTGCATATAAAAAAGCTGTTAAAGAAGAGTAGTCGAGCAAGTTATTGGCACAGTGGTGCTTATTTTTACGCTGCTCTTTGCCATTGTTTTCAAGCTAGGAGCATTTGGCCTTTATTTCATGTAACTTGTGCATACCATAGTTCAAATGCTTTCATTGTGCTTTGCAACCAAACACTATTTCATTTGATTTTATTAAAGACATGTCTGCAGACATACTGTCAGAAGAAAGAGCACAGTGCCCTCTAGTTACAGTTCATTGAAATAGAGAAATGTGCAAGGTCTGTAAAGTTTAGTATCTTGTTACTTTAACATCACAGAATTGTCTCCTTTTCTCTTTTTGTCAAAAAATATAATCAGAAGAAGAAAGCTGAAAAAGACTATAAACAAGGTTCTGTGCTTAGAGACATCTTGACAGTGACTGAATGTCACCATGTAGAAGCATCTCACCACTGTTGCTTTATTTTCTTTTACAAGTTAGAATTTGTATTAATGCAGCCAGTAGACAAGTCATCCTCTACTCATCAACTTTAGGCCTTGATGTGCTTGACTTAAAAGTAGTATTTGTAGCATACTTAATTATATAACCCAGTCTCATTATAGACTGGGCACTGCCATTGCTGTTCTTCACATTGACAGTCTGAATAAATCTCCAGCACAGCAGATGCATGTGGACTGCATGTGTCACACATGGATCACAGCAGGAGTTGGATACCTTGCTATTTAGGAAAGCTTTGTGTTTTTTTTTTATAGTTTCACAGCAGTCTTGGGTTTTGCTGTTTCAGTCTTTGCCTAGTAGGACTAACCTATTGTCATACACCTGTATGATCGTGCTCTTTAATTATTTGGCTCTTCATTTTTCCTGCCGATGTGAAATAATTGCCAAACAACTACCTGCTAATGTGCCTTATGCATCTGTCCTAAAAACCAATACCGACTAGGAACACAGTTCCTCTGGGAATGCAGGAAAGTACAGTTGCACAAATCTGCGGTCAGTTGTAGCACCTTGATTATGCATTGGTATCTATGTAAAACAAATAATATTTCTAAGAGTACATAGGTGCTATATAAATAAAATTCTAATTTTTCTGGAACAGGATTTCAGTAATAATGTTATAAATAACTAAAAATGAATTATTTTGTTGCTGTAAGCAGGACAACCACAGGAATATAAAATATGCAAAGAAATAACCATAGCTTTAATCGCATATATGTGATTCTGCTTTGTTTAAAATTTTCAATAAGTACTGTGTGGAATGTTTTTATTCTTTTATGTTAAAAAATTGTAAGAAGCAGTTATTGTTCCTAGCTGGAAAAACAGACATGAGACCTAAAAAGAAATTTCAAGAGTATTTTTATTGATCCCTTTTCTTTGGTGAAGTAGCAAGGTGACACACAATTATTCTTTCCTAAAGCATCATTAATAACTTAGGCTTCTGATGAAATATTATATAAATAAACAGTGTTTTGAAGCAGACATTTTTTTCTTACATATATGTTTTTCCTAGTTTTCTCAAGCTCTAACCATCTTGCATCAGCATATTGTCACCAATTAAAGCAATTTATATGTTCTTAAAGGTCAGAACTAATGCTTCACAACATTCCCCTATGTAAGGGATGAAGTGTTGAGAGCGACTCTTAAGATGGGCAGTTCAGAATGAAGGGATGAAAAGGATGCTTAGTAACTCTAGAACGAGGGCTTTTCTAGTTTTCCCAGCTAGTACTGTCTTGTGTTGTACAGAAAGCACTCTAATAACCTTTTGTGTCCATGGAGAACCTTTCCATGGTCCAAACAGTAACACATACTGTATACAGAAAAATTGTCATTTTGTGTTCCGTTGATATTTACAGAAAGAGAAGAAGTCTTTATCAGTGTTGTCTTTTGAGTTTTAGCAAACTAGCTGGAGCTATCAATGCAGCCTATAACCACTGCTTGCTTTCCTATTTTTGTGTTGCTGAAATTTGCCGTGAAGCAGAGTGTGTTCTTTTTCAGTTCTCTGTGAGTAAGGCCCTTTTTGTTTCTTTGGTGAAGATCTGCTAGTTGTCAACATAAATTCAGCAGAGACCTGGCAGAAATACACGCCAGTCCAACTACCATTATTGTGATTTAAACTGATGACTGAAGAATTGTAATGAGCACAGCTCTGCTGAATAGTTCTGCCACTTTAATGATCTCACCAGACTTGCAAAAAAGAGTGTGAGCTGATATAATAAATGGAAGCAAGAATTTCATCTTATTCTTGTGTCTATATACTGATTACTTCATAAAAAGATTGAGAAGAGGTGGTTACTCAGTTCATTTAAGGTGAGGGAAATGAAAACGCAGTTAAAAATCCACATAGCACATGGTAATCCCCATGGTCACTCCAGCAGCAGTAAATCCTTTCTCAAGACAATGGAGCTGGTTTGTTTGGAATCTATACTAGGTGCTACTGCAACACAGTAGAAAATAACTGTTTTCTGCATGTGGTACCCCAAGCACAACAGAGCCACTTAAGCACAATGGTAAACAGTCACATTAAATAGATGGGTCAGGTCTTGCTGTGCAAACGCTTCCTGAATTCAGCATCTCTTCTTACCAGGGATGTTTTTCCTTTGGGGTGGGTGGGTGGAGGGGGGGAGGAGAGAGAAGGGGTACAGTTATGGGTACCAAGACTCGACTTTCATCTCTTGTACCACTGAAACCATCTTCTGATATGCAGTCAGGAATATTATTCTGCAGTGTTTCATATGATAACAGAATGCAAAATTAAATGAAAGTGATATTTTCTTAATAATCATTGAGAGCTAAAGGAGTTTTCTTGAAATCAGTTGCATCACTCTATTATAGAACTAAGAAATACTACGCTTATGAGTTTCTTGAGATACAGTTTTTCAAAGACAAAGGTAAGTTGGAGCATGTAGTCATTAGAGAATTTTAAAGATGGGTTAGAGTCAGAGGATTTAACCCTATTTTTTATTTATTTTTTTCTACTTCAGAGGTTCAACATGCTGTGAAGATTCCTGTGCTGATTGGGTCTGGAGTGACTATGGAGAATGTCAAGAATTACGTGGATGCAAATGCTCTAATAATTGGTTCGTATTTCAAGAAAGGAGGTTATTGGGCAAACAGTGTTGATCCTGAGCGAGTAAAGAAATTTATGGATCACATAAGTAAACTGAGAGAATGAGTTTGTCAAACAGTATTCTTTTTGTGTGTATACAAATGCAGTATGATATATCGCACTGAATTAAAGCACAAATGTACACTTTAGTGGCTAATAACTTTAAATTAAAACGCACATCATCTCCATAACTAACTGGGGAACGTGGTGACACTTTACAATGAACTGGTGCTATGATGTTTGTTCCTAGGCAGCAGAATTCTGTAGCACTCAAAGCCACTGCCAAGACAAAACCAGCTCTCCAAAGGCTTTTATAATATATTCTCTCCTATATGCAAAGTGCTTATGGAGTTTAAGAAATTGTAGTAAATACTGATTGCAGGATGAGCTGAGTTTTGCTTTGCATGTGAGTACAATAGGACACCCTAAGTTTACAGCTACCAGTATTGTAAATTGGACAAGTTAATTAGCCTTTCAGTTTCCCATCTGTAAAATGATGATAATAGTACCTACATCACAGGGGGGTTGTAAGACATAATAAATGGATGAATGTACAGCACTTTCATCTCCTCAAATGAAGGGCTCTATTAAAGTTCAAGATCATTATTTTTTCATTAGAATTGTGCATTTATTACAAAAATGTAATAATTGTATACCATACAAAAATTTAAGATAATTGGGAAATTGATTTACTTACAATACTTATTAGAGAATAAATGTAAATATTTAATTACATTTTAAGTAGAGTTGGAATTTAGTCAAAATGTTTTTGCAAAAATTGGAAACTTTATTAAAGGCTTATTGTTATTTTCCAGCAAGCTCCTACAGCTTTGTACCTCTTCAGACTAGTATTAGTGATGTTTAAAACTGCCAGGTTCCTTCCAATACGCAAGTTATAGTTATGATGGAATTCTTTCTACCAAAACTGACAGGGAAACATGGATTTTCATTTTTTCCTCTAAAATGTAGAGGAAAAATGTGATGATCTATCTATATTGTTAAAGGTACCCCTTAAATTTAATCTTTTAGCTGTAAGGAATACAAAACAAAGAAAAAACAGAACAACAGAAACACAGCAATGAATACCTGTTGTGTCATGGCTGTATAAAATGTGGACATATGTTTTCATTCCTTGGGATTGCAAGCTAAGTTTACCCTCTGGGATCTCTCTCCTGACATGTATGCATCAGGCTTCTGCTGATGCTAATGAAAGTTATATTGTACATATCAAAGCGAGCATACAAACATATTTCTTCTGTCAGCTGGCAGAGTGCCCATGCTTCTCTGAACAAAAGATACATCCTCCTTCCAAAGACAAAAGAGATTTTTTCAAGAAATTTAGCTTCATTAACAGAATGGTGATTCTAAAACATCACAGCATGAGATCAAGTCTTCTCTTTAGGTTCCCTTTTTTTGGACTAGTCTGTCTCCCACATGACTCCCATTAAAAGCAGACATAACTTTAGACATAACGTTGACCTCCTAGAGAAGGGGTTGTTTAGACCCTATAACAACCTTGGCATTCTTCTGCTTATATCCCTTTTCCTTCTAAGTATGCTGACAAAGTTTCAATCTATAAAAATCCTTTCAGGTGTCTCTTTATTGTGGGCAGCACTACTTTTTCAAAGTCCACATTTATACATGTGATTTAATGTCCTGAGTATTTGGACTTCCATCACAAACAATGGTTCCATCCCAAACAATGTCCAGAAAGTAGGAGCATTCAAGGATTTATATATATTTTTCCTCTACACACTCATTCACCATTAGCATATTTTGATGTATTTATCAAGTAAACCATTGATCTGGTTTAACTGATAAGTTCTTAGCATAACTAATCAGTTCCATCTTATGGCCTCTTTATTATGAAAAATGCCACATTAAAAAAAAAAATAAAGAAAGATTTAGATATTAGTAATATCAGTGTGCTTAAATTGACACATTTTCCACTTTTGTGTATTTAGGACTGTTGTCAGGCCTTTCACAGGTCTGATCATTGCCTAGAAGACTTAGTGATTGTTGTACCAACAAATATTTTCTAATACAGTTGCCACCAACTTCATTTTCACTCAACCTGTAAGCTAGAAAGGCTGGTGTGTAAGCAATGAACATTTGCCGGTGCTTTCATGCCATAAGCAAACACTGTCAAGTAGTCAGTTGAAAACTACAACCAATATACTAATAAGCATCTTTCTGTGATGATAATTATTTTTAAGAAACTGAATGAGTTGCCAAAATCACATTCATTTCTTTATGAAAATATAATGTGTTACCAGAATGCTTGTTGGCTTGGTTTCTACGCATTCGTGTCCTAAAACTGCAGTGACTGGGACTCTGAGGGGCCTTAAGCTGAATAAAAGGACTGATAAGTGAGAACTACTTCATTTAGACCTTGCTTATAGTACTGAAGTAATGCCATACACAGTCTTTGCATGACAAAACCTTAATGAGTTGGTGTAATACCTCAAAACATGCAATGAATACTGTAGACAGCACTTTCACTGTCAGTATTTCATTTAACACCACTGTAACACTTTACAGAAGGAACAGGCTGTAATTTGGACCTGTATTATTACATATAAACTCTAAGTGAAGAATTTAGGGACCAGAAGCAAAGGAAAGCTGATTTTAAAGCCTGGAAATGTGATTGATCACCAGTTCTCTATCATTCTTTGTGCTGAAAGTATTTGTCTAGCAGCATTAAGCATCTGCTTGCCTGTTTCACACAGATGCTGTAAATAGAATTTGACCTTTTGTTCAGAAAGTGTTTGAATATTTAATGTAAAAAATATTAAGTTATCAGGCAGTCTCTTTTGGGAAGAGTGTTGAATTTTTATACAGCCCAAGTTCTTGACGTACTTTGGAGCATGAATAACTTTAGAGCAGAACAAAGGAGGCAGTGCTAATGTGTAGTAACTCCAGAAGTAAATAACAGCTGTTCAAGAAGACTTCTATTAAATACATATTAATTAATTTGAAGTGCATCACTTAAATATGTGAAGAGATTATCTTGTGTTAATTTACATTAAAACACACAGCACTTGTTAGCCTCATTACAGTATCCTAAGTGTATCCTAAGCTATCACCTCATCCTACATTGAATGTTTTGTTGGGTGTTGATTGCTTTCGATTTGCCCTTTTAAAATGTCAGATAGTGGCCTCCCTTTCTTGTTAGATTTCTTCTTTCTCACACATTTTGCTCTTGCCTAGTTACTACACTTACTTGTGTCCATTATGTGCTGAGCAGGAAAGAACAGATTGTGAAAATGTAATAGAAGTTACCCACAGCTCAGTTCCCTTATGTGCCCACCCAAATGTCATGCATGGTTCTCACTGTTGACTTATGAACTAGCATTACTTTTTTTAGTGTTATTAATCACTAATGGACCTAATAAGATAAATGTTTTGTTTTGTTTCAACCTATTTCAGTGGTGAAAATACTTAGGCTTGTAAGATTTACAGATAATGTCTAGAGTTTTTCTTCCCTGTGTTATCTAGGCAGCTGGTCCAGCTGCTGAGCTGTTCTTTGTGTTACTAGAATGTCACCTAATTCTTTTGACTCCCTGGTTACAAGTTGGATTTCTTGTTTTTATTTTTAAGTTCTTGTTTCCTGCACCTATCCTAGCAAAATTCTCACTGACAGAAAACCAAGGAATGTAAAGGACTTGCAAGCTGAAAGGAGAAGGAAACTAAAATTTTTGGCTGTAGCAAAATCTTGACGTCCATGACAAATTGCTACAGAGCATGATTCTCTCAAGAGAAGTGAATGGGGATGTTTATTCCTCTTGACTGTAGTTTCAGGTTGTTTGCTGCCTCTTCAGTTAAGACTTCATGCGTTTGCACCTGGACTATGTTTCCAAGATCATCTCTGCTGGTATGTGTGCTTAGGGAGACATGTTTTGCTAAATGAAAGCTGAAGTTTTCCAGGATAATTATGGCAATAAGAAGTGATATCTGTAGTGAAATCTGGGCTTGGAATTCATGGCCCTTTGGTTTAGGAGCATATTTAGAGATGGTATATATGTCTTCACAAATAAACCACTAAAGATTTGCATTACAAAAGCTTCACTTTCAGCACCTTTGCCCTAACATCCAGGCACTGTTTACTATGCTGAAGCAATTTCTGCTCTATAAACTAGAGACGGGGAGAATTGGTTTTAGCTTGTGTGATGTTATAAGCGTGACATCCCAGAGCTGGCATTGCTATGTGTCGTAAAGACAAAGAAGTGGTACTTAGATGTTGAGTTTAGAAACAGAACTGCCTCTCTTGGTTTTGTTTGTTTGTTTTGCTTTTGTTTGTTTTCTTATGCATTTGCAATGCTAATCTGTGAAGCCTAAATGATAAAATGTTCAGAAAGGGTGAAGAACTGGGCTTAGATATTCTTTTTGTGGCCTAATAAATATGCCATGCTGTATAGTAGAATTGAACCTCCCTCCCACTCCATTTTATGGTCCCTGCTGCAGAAATACTGTCAGAATTTTAAATCCTTCTGAGAGATACTGAACTGGGTTTCCTCCGTAGAGATGTCAGGGAAAGTTACCCAATTAATTCCTTGTTTTTATAACAACCAGTGCTTGTACTGGGGTTTGTTTGTGTTGAGGTATCATGGAACTTTACTCCATTTGTTTCTACTCTTAATCATCATTATGACAACTAATGACAACTGTTATGTGATCCTTTGAACACTTGTTCACATTCAGAGAACTGTTGTATACCTGCAGTGAAAAGAGACAATGGAGGCAGCAGGTAAAATGAAAGTAAGGCTAAAAGGTTTTTGGAGAAATGCTGAGGCAAATACGTGCTTCCCCCCCCCTTCCCCCCCCCCCCCATTTTTTTTTTTTTAAACCCTCATTATTTAAAAATGCATAGATAACTGGGGGGGGGGGGTGAGAGTGACACTTCTGCAATACAAACAGGGAAGTCCCTCATATGAGGCAAAAGGTTTGTAATTCACAACATACTTTGTCTCTTTCCATATAGTTTGAAGCTTCAGAAGCAGTAAGGTAGTAAAGGTAAGGAGGGCCTGGAGTGTTGCTTGTTAAACACTTGAGAGTGTGCAAAGGTGTAAGGTTAATTTTCATGATTAAAAATTTATCGATTTTATTAAGAGATGGGTTTCTTTCAAGATGTCACAAAGTGATTTCACTGATTTGGGCTGAAACTGCTACTCACTTTCTGCATTTTAACTTCCTTCTTTCCTGTCACTGTCAAGTTTTCACTGTTTCACAAAGTAAATTGAGTGTCAGACAGCAAGCCTTATGTTTCACGACTTCTTTTTTCCAGTGGAAATCACTCTCTGAAATGAATGGGAGAGAGATGCTGCTTGATTGAGTGCAATGTTGATTTACTCGGTGTTCCTCTGCTATTAAATCCGTTGTAGCTATTTAATTGTTTTTGAAAACATCTTTGCTGGTAGCAGCAGAATGATGAACAGATGAAAATTTCAAGAAAAAGAGGTGACAAGAGGGTACACAACCCATTTTCTTTAAAAGAAGCACAGGTTAGAATTAGTACCAGGTTAAGCAGAAGAAATTCCTATTTTGTCTGTTATCCATAGTTCTTGAATCCTTCTCCATTGATTCATCTCTCTTTGATCTCCCTTTTGAATATTAAAATGCATGTGCAACTTCTTTTGTCCTGCTGCCTTTGCAAAGGAAGATGGAATATCTAATGTAGGGGGTAGGAGCTGATGAATCTGCTGGTGTTTAGGACCTTTTTATTGCTTTGCAAACAGCATTAAGTGTAAAAGTGTAAGTTCAGTGTAAAATAAACTTTAAATATTTAAATTTGCCAAATTGGACATGAAATTAAGTGTTCAAGATGGTAGTTAGACTTGGAATTGTTTGACTTTGTGATGTAGCTAGTGTATTGGCTGTGCCATGTCTTACTGCTATCAGAATGAGGTCACAAAACAGAGGAGATTAAAAACATGTTTCATACAAATGTAGGAGGAATCCCAAATTCATCAGTAAACAAGGACAAAAAGGAAGGCAGTACATTAAGGGCAAGAAAAGATGCTTAAGTTTCCTGCAGTTCCTGCATCATTGTTTATTCCAGCTTCCTGCTTTTTCATTTTGCTTCTCAAGCCTTTCTTGTGCATATACATAGATTATAGTATACAGAAGACTAAGAATAAGCTGAAGGCAGAAAATGACTTAATGAAGACATTCTTGTGATAGAGAAAAGATTCTGTTGTCCACAGATGCGCAAAGAAAAATAGAAAAGCAGCTGCCCTTAGAAATGGAGTAAAAGTAGTAATAAGTGCTACGTCATGATGCTTTAGTCAAAATCTGAACTGTTGAATGTCTTTCCATGAGAGAATCTGTACTTTTGTACAGGCACATAACCAAGAGGAGAAACAATACGCTTCTGCTGGAAAAATACTGATGGTCTCATGTCTTAGATACTGTTCTGAATAGCGCTGAATTTTTGCTCAACTTTCAGCTGGAGAATAAGGATAAAAGGGAATAGCTTTCAACTGTTCTGTTATGAATGACAGTATTAATAACCAATTTCTTGTCAAAAGCATTGGTTTCCTCAAGACCAAGCTTTAGATGTATAATCATGCTCTGGCATCTTCCAGAGAAAAATTCTGAAGGGCACAAAGGCCCCATGTCACTAGCTTCCTTCTCTCCTCTGTAGTCAGTTTGTTTTCTGAAAGCCTTTGGACAGAGTCAGCAGAAAGGTAATGAAAGAAACTTATGTGGCTATTGTTTGACAGGTGAGATGAAGTGGAGGTCAGATACAGCAATCAAGGGGAGGTTTTCTGGGTCTCCTGGCCTGCAGAATTAAAAAGTAAAACAAAAAATAACCACACAAACAAAAAAACAGGTCTGTAGTTGGTCAATAATGAGTTATCATATTAGAGTACCCACACCACAGCCGTGAGGTGGTGAGTACTGGAGTTTTGATAAATGGAGATGGCTTATTTTACTCTGCAATAGGCCCCCATGCAATTTTGCTCTTCTGTGAAAACTGTCAACTGAAGCATTAATGAGAGCAAGTGCAGCTGGTGGCATTTGGGCTGTGAAAATTGGTTTGTAATACTTTACTAATAGTAATTTGGGAACTTAAATAATTTTGACTAATATTTCAGTTGAGCACTGAAAACCTTCAAGTTTCTGGAAATAAGAGTTGTTTTGTTTCATTTTTTATACAGTCTTTGTCAGAGGATTCCTCTGAAGCACTAGCCATGGCTGCAGCGACATATGTGGTGAAATAGATCAGTGGTCCAATCTGCTGTGACAACTCCTATGTAACTAAAAATAGGAAAAATAGAAGAGAAAATTTGTAGGGCTGGTAGTGGCTTGTATTTTTCAATAATTTATCAAGATTCGAGAGCACAGATTTCCTTTGGGAAATATTAGTTCTTAGGTTTACAAAGTGCCTCAGTTGTAAATACCCATAAAAATGACAATTTGGTAGGTCGTATTTATTCTTAAGCGGGTCAAAGGACATTAGCGTATTCCTCCTATATAAATCTGTCAAGTACAGAATTTCTTTATGTTCCCAAATCACAAAAGCGCCTCTTACAGTCAAGGAGAAAATGTCATATTATTGCCAATCAAGGACAACAAGCAAGCATATCGATCTTTACCCAATAACTTTTGCCCTGCTTGCTAAGTTTTTATCACTGTAACTGGACATATCAAGGGACTGGATTTAATATATACATATAGTGCTGATTTATTACAGGAGGAGAAATACAGTCTGGCCTTACTCCTCGCTCAATATTTTAACAGTTATTTTGTCCCTTGCATGGAAGCTGGCTATGACTTTTCCTACAGATAAGGTGCATAACTTTCAGAGATCCCTGGATGTGCACAAATCTTCAGCTTCCATAGGTATGGCAAGTGTTACATGTGCACGTGCATTCTGCGTGTGGTGGTCTTAGTCTTGAGTCTTGATTTTAAGAGCTTGTATATGTGCAAGTCTGTAGAGGGGTTGCTATTTGTTTTGTAGTGGCATAAATCAGAATTTTTCTGGGGAGAGGAGAGATGAGATCAGAGAGCACACAGATGTAAAGGCATGAGCCTGGTCTCGGGCTGTGCTGGCCCTCATTTCGTTATGTGGGACTGCGTATGTAAAGCCTTATGTAAAGGGGCTGTTTACCAGCCATAGGTACTAGAATGTAGCAGCATGCTAGCATTGTCCTTCTTGGTCCTTCTGTTAGTGAAGCTTCATGTTTTTTGTCACTTTTTATTGGTAACTGCAGAGGATTTGGCCTATTCCACCCACAAAGCATTTCTGAAAAGTGAAGGACAGAAAAACTCACAAAAAATAAAACACACAACTGAAGGGAAGGATCTTCACCACAGAATTGTGGAACAGTTGAGGTTGGAAGGAGCATCATTTAGTCCAACCTGGCTCAAAGCAGAGTCAACTTGAACAGAGTACTCAGGATCTTCTCACAACAGGTTTTGAATATCTGCAAGGTAGGAGACTCCACCACCTCTCTGGACAACTTGTTCCAGTGCTTCAGTCTTCGAGGATAAGCTTCTGAGTTAGAAACAGGCTATGTAAGTCAGCAGAAGCATTTATCTGCTCATTTTTTTATGATAAATGTATGAAGTCAGTATCCTCAAGAGCAGCTAGCTCTCCTCTGTTGTTTTATGGCTAGGCAGTTCTGCTGCTTTTTTCTTTTTCTTTTTAATATCTGGGCAAAAGGCATGAGTTTTGGTTGTTCTTTGGCTTCTTAAGAAAGCAACCCCTCTGTGGAATAAATGGGTGCAGAAGTAGCTGATGGATTTCTCATTCATGTTCAAAATAATGTGGAGAGAGCTAGTAAGGTGATACCCCACTTTATTTTTCAATGGAGCAAGTAGAGGGACTTGTGTTGAGTTTCCCCAGATGTGTCCTTCCCCTGCCAGAAATTTTGTCAAGAGCTTATCTTCAAGGACTGTGTAAGTTAGTCAAGTTTCCAGGTGTTTAGTAATCCCAGATTTTCCTCGTCATGTGAGCAGATCGTTTCTACAGTGCACGTATCACAAATCTGACATTGGAAGTGCCCACAGCACTGCACGTGGTGTGCACACTCACAATAAATGAGACGTGGTCGGGGTTTCTGTGCATGTGCTCTACTGTTTAGTTTCACAAGCACAACAAATTGGATGTGTCGCAGATATTTTGTGTTTCCTATGCATGTTCAAACCATCTGTGCAACACATGTACCACAGGTCTGACGATGCTTTAAGGGTTGGACATGATGCCTACATGACACAGCTCCTGGTGATACATTTCAGGATAGGAAATTTAGAACAGGATAATGGAGAGCACAGAAATAACGCCTTTCACTGGGACCCTCTAGGAAGAATGCTCCCATTAGAAGAAGCTGATTTTTGGTTCTTCCATCTCTTGACTTGAGAGGTAACTATACAGTAAGTCTTATCCTGTTTTCCATGTGCTTTGCTACTGCACAAGTTTTGAAAGGATCTCAAACACGGTGGTTTTTGATTTGGAGGGAAGGGAGTGTCTTGGCTAGAACATATTCTGTTCACCTTTGTTAATATAAGCCAGAAGAGGGGAGAGACAGAGTGAGCAAGCTGGTAGTAAAGAGACAGGGAAATATGACCCAGGGTGCCTGTTACCTGTTTCCTGGGTCAGGTGGAAATGTAGAGCTTTGTCAGCCTTCTTCAAATCATCTTGCAGAATCAGGCCCAGAACTGAGAAAGTTACGCTGATCCCGTGAAATTCTCACCTTTCCGGCTAAGTACAGAAAGCTGTACTTGCTAGATCAGTGATGAATCATGACTTCCTTCCCTCCAAAGAGCCTTGGGCTTTTTCTCCCCTCCAAACATTTAACTTACTTGCAGGGCTGACAGAAAAGCAGTAGACTTTTTTTTCAAATATCCATTTGCCTTCCCATTTATCTACTTTGATCTAAAATATAGAACCTGATGGATGCCCTAGGTAAATCAAACATTTTCTGTCTGCCAAAACGGTTTTGCAAATGCTTATTTCATGCCATTACCATTTTTCTGTTTCTAGTAGTAAATCAAAAAGTATCACCCATTCATCCACTTTAAAAGTAATGCCTTTTCTTTGCATAATTACACATACCCAGTGGAGATCTGTATGCACAGTAAATCTATTCCTTTAAAAGGTTTCGCCTTAAGTACCACAGTGACATAAATTGGTGTAGAGCAAATTTATTTATTTAATAGGTTTATTCTTTTAACTGATCTGGTAACTGTTATACTTCCATTGTTTGATTTGGGTGGGGAAGGCTTTTAATAACGTATCAGATTTA